TTCAATTATATCTTTCCCCTTTCTAGTCTACTACTATACCTCAATCCTTATCTTCCTCACTTCCCAACAAAAGCTGTGGTCCGCCCTTTTTTTTCTCTTCCCTTTCCTCTTGTTCTTTTGTAATGGGAATTTTTTTAATTTATTTTTTTAAAATGAATACTTGAGATTTATTTACTTTTTATTTATTTTTATAATATAATTTTGATTGATTAAAAAATTTTAAATAATTTAATAATAATTTTTTTAATAAAAATAAAAAAATTTAAGTTTAAATAATATAATATATTGATAAAATAAATTAAAAAATGTGAAAAAATTACTTTTTATCATGTAATTTAAGATTAAAAAAACATTTATATATGTCTCAACAAAATCTTACAACATGACAAGATGTAACTTATATTCACTCTGGTTTGATTTAATTATCTTACTTTTAAATAGAGGTGGTTTAATTTAATTATTATACTTTCTAATTTAGTAAAACATCAAACACTAATATTTGAATTTTATCCTTATCTAAAAAGATAGAAATATGTTAAGATTTTTTTATTTAATATATAAGTACGGGTGAAAATAAAAAGAGAATTTTTAATTATTATAATAAATAAATTTTTTAATAATTGTGAATGAATAAAGTAAGATAATTAAATCAAACTAAATTAAGTAAATTAAATTTAATGTCTCATTAAAATACAGAATAAGATGATCAAATCAGATTATTCCTATTTAAAAAATAAAATAACTAATAAATAAGATAAGAGAAAATAATTAAGTAAGACATATGCATCAAAAAATATATCCACTTATTTGATATTATCCCACTCTTATAAGAATTTTTTACCAATAAATATATTAATAAATCATTATCGTCTGCATGAATTTTTAATGTACCATATCTGCAAAATTGGATACTAGTTTTTTATTTTTGGCAATTTATGTTTAATTAGGTAACTTGTGAGATGAAGAAAGTAAAGCTGGTTGGTGGGATGATGACCAACCAAAACAAGTTTCTTAGGGTGGTCAAAAGAGGCAAGCTAGTGTGAGAACGGCGGGTCATGATTTTTTTTTTTTTAACAAAAAAAATATTAAAAAAGGGATTAAATGTAAAAGACAAAAAAAAGGTATTATGTGATGTAAATTGTGTTAAATTATACAATTTATATTAAAATTGTACAGCTTAAATTATTATTATATGTCAAGTAAATTTTTAATGTTGGAGCTATCCCTTACTTGATTGTTCTTATTTTGAATTAGTAAAATGATTTGAATATATTTTGATTCAACACAAGTTCACATTTAATTAATTTAATTATTAAAATATAATATAAATATAATTATATCAATTTAATCGATTTCTTTATAGTGTATGCATATTATATTTTTAATTTTTTTAATGTTAATTTTAGACTAAAAAATAACAATTTTTAACGAATGTATTAAAGTAAAGAATATATGTATCAATGTCCTTGAAATTATGATATAGTTTAGATGGGAAAATATGAAACTCTAAATATCTAAATATTTTTTTCTATAGAAAATAAAGATTTATATTAAAATAAAAGGAGATTACAAATGAATCCCTATCGCAGGCATGCAGCCTAGTTAAAACAGAATCATAACTTACAGTATTAGTAATAGATTTAAACTATATCCATGACGAGTATAGACAATTAAGTAAAAAGGGCAATTTGTAACTAAAAATTGCATCTACAATCGTTGTATAGGCAAAAATGGGGCTACTAAAGTAAAAAGGAAAGTCGCTATGAGTATCAGAAACTATTGGATATCCTCACCTATTTAGCCAGCTTCATGGGGAGAGCAGGGAATCTTGACATCAATAGTCCCTAACCTGCTAGATGTCGTCCCTTTCTAATGCATGCTTTAACCAACAGGAGGGTCATGGCTTTTAGCCAATTGGGCTAAAGCCACCCCTGTATTGTTTACAAGCACTTTAAGGGCTCTCTCTTCCTTCATAGGCATTAGACAACTCCTCCGCTTATTTTGACTGCGTTCCTCTAAGTGCAACTTGGATACCCCAGCACGATCTAGCCTTTTCCAACTACCGTTATTTGCTTTTGTATTTTTCCCTTTCCTTCTATGGTTACTCATGTCCCTAAACTGTTGGGACAAAGGAACGTCCACCAATTGTACCTCAGCAATTGGAGGCAAAACAACATGAGACTGGTTTATCCTTACTCCAAAAGCCATGTCATTTGTGCCATTCTCATTGTTACCGCCCTTAACTTGTCTTCCACAAATGGGCATATTATTAAGTGATTGGATTTCATCATTCTCAGAATGCTTTGTATCATCTACGCCCTTATCCCCCATCAAAATATGGGTATTTGTAGACAAGGCTTCTTCCAAAACATCAAAATCATCTGTGCACCATGAGTTCTCTAATTCAACTTTTAACCAAGGACCAAAGCGTCTGATAATCTTACCACCTGCATCTTTAATGCAATGAGCAATTTCACAATCATTCTCGACATGTCCCAAACAGCCATAAACAAAACAAAACAAAACAAAACTTTTGGAGTCTTTCATATTTAATCCTCAGTTTCCTGCTCTCTGTAGCAGTAATTTGAGAAGTCTTGAATCGTCTTAGTGGGTTATTGACATCCAAGTCTATTCTAACTCAAATAGCTTTCTTGAGTCTTTCATCCACCTCCAAGACTCGTCCTAAAGAACTTTTAATCATGAAACCAATCTGCTCAAAATGCAATGCAATAGTGACATAAAAGATTCTGACCCAAAATGGGTTTGTGGAAAAATTATATTGCTTTGGAGTTAGGGAGGCCTGAAATCTTTTAAGAATAAGCAGTGAGTTACTAAAATTCCAAGGACCTCCATGGATGGCTTTGTTGAGATCCCTAATATCAAAAAATTGAAAAAGATAAATCTTTTCTCTGATCTTTGAGATTTTAAAAGCTTTCTTAGGATTCTAGGAGGCAATTAAAGCATTATGGAGGCCATTTAGGTTGACCCACCTTTGGGATAGTAGTTTCTTGACCAATCGCAACTTTTCCACTTTAGCATTATCTTGCTTCCAAACCATATGTAGTGGGAGGATCCTGTCTTCATTCTTTACGATTCAGATTCGGCTAAGCATAGATCCTAAATCATCTTCCACCATGGTTGTGATGCTATTGCAATGGCGAAGCAAAGTGATTATGTAGTGATCTGACGCACTTAGTTAGATTTGTGAATCAGAAATCTAGGAGAAGCAAAAGTATGGCACACTCAACTGAATCGGTAGGCAACACTGTCCAAAGGCTTGAAACCAGTAAAAGAAAAGTAGGGAGGCTCCATAGCCGAAGAGTAATCTCGAAGGAGAGGCCCGTCGACTCCAAACCCTAGCCCGAGGAGTTTGAAGCATGAGAGGATGTTCTTGTTGGTGAGATATTTAAAGTAAACATCTAAATATTAAAAGTTAAATTGGAGAACGCACTTGGACCTTGTGGCTTGACAACTTCATGCCCCCTAGTAAAGTGCATTGCTTCAACCCTAGGGATGGGGTTTGAATTTCCTCACTTTTTGAATCCCCGCTTCTAAGTTGTAAACTATTAAAAAAAGAAGAAGTTAAATTGGAGAACAAATTTTTTATGGAAAGAAAAATTTTATAAAGTAGAGCAAAATCAATAATCTTAGTAGAGAGAAAATGTATAAATAAGGATTTTAACTTTATATTTTTTTATTTAAGATATTATTTTTATTAATTTTTAAATAAAAATGTCAATTTTTTATTTTTTATTTAAGTATATTAATTTTTAATTTTTTATTTAAAAATATTAATTTTTAATTTTTTATTTAAAAATATTAATTTTTAATTTTTTTTATTTAAAATATTAATTTTTAATTTTTTCAATTTAAAGATTAATTAAATGGTAATATTGACATGTAATATTGATGTGACAAATAAACTTTTAAAAAAATTAATATCTTTAAATTAACAAAAACTAAAAGTTCACATTTTTAAATAAAAAATAAAAAATTAATATTATTAATTAAATAAAAAAATAAAAAATTAATATTTTTATTCGTACCTCTTCTCCTTTGCAGGGGGAACGAAGTATATTATTTTGCTTTAAATTTGGCATATTCCTTTGCCGCCTGATTATTATTATTTTTTCTTTTATGGATTTGCCACTAGTTACTTAATAATTTTTTTTTTGTCTGAAATAAGGAAAAGGGAGGGGAGAGAATAGAAAATTATTATAATTAATTATATTATGTTATTAACCTAATAACTTAATTTTATTAATCAAAATAAGGTTATTTTCTCTTTCTCTCTCTACTCCCCTCAAACTAAATACATTATAAAAATTTTTTGCGTACACTTATAAAATTGTAGTTCATGTAGGCACCATGAAATTATTTTTAAAATTTTTTTGAGATTAACTGTAGCAATTTAAATAAAAATTAGGTGATTAAATTAATAAATTTAAGAAAAAAATGACTAAACCAACAGCTATGTTAATAGCGTGTGATCATTCATGTAGTTTACCTTACAAATAAAAGGAAATAGATTGGACTACCGCATCAATCCAAAGGCCAAACACGAGAACGAATTGACATAAAATTTATGAGTAGGCCTTTATTTGATAAAAACTTATTTTAGCTCCTCATTTTATCAAGTTTGAAGATTTTAGCTCTTACTTTATATTATGATATTTTTAACCCATTACCTTACTAAATTTATAAGTTTTAACTCCTCACCTATTAAAATCGAAAAAAATAACCCTCATTTTATATTGATTGTTAATTCTGTTAGTTGAAAGTAGATTTTTATCAACTAACAGTCAACTAATAGTCAATTAACAGAATTAATGAAATATTATAAAATTAGTTCTGTTAACTAAAAGAAGATTTTTGACAGTTAATAATCAATTAATAGTCTAATAATAGAGTTAATAATAAATTAATAGAACTAACAAAATGTTACAAAGTGAAGGTTATTTTCTTCAATTTTAGTAGGTGAAGGGTTAAAAGTGTCGTAGTATAAGTATAAGGTAAGAGGTTAAAACCTACAAATCTAGTAAGGTGAGGGGCTAAAAATGTGATAATATAAGGTGAAGGGTTAAAACTTTCAAACTTGACAATGTGAAAGGTTAAAAGTATGCTTTTGCCCCTTTATTTTGTCACCCTCTAAAATTGTATCCTTTAAATTAATGGTAAAACTCCCAAATTCACTCCTCAAAAAGATGAGTAAGGATAGAACCACCTTTCAAAAAAAAAAAATAATAATAAATTGTCCATTCAAATAATAAATTATCCATTTGTTAATTGATTTTTGTCAATTTTCCATTAAAAAATGCTTACATGAAAAACAAAATTTGTTAAAAAAAAATGTGAATTGTTTTAATTTATAGTTTGAAATGACAATTTGTCCTTATATTTTTTTAAGGGATGAATATATCCCTACCTATCTTTTTGAGGGGTGGATTTAAAAGTTCTACTTAAATTAATTTATATATAAGTATAAAATGACAGCGAACTTGAGATATAAAGCACATACCTTTTTTGTTTTTTTTTTTCTTCTTATTATTATACAAAGGAAAGCGTCATTCATTAATTAAGAGTACATAGTGCTGGCTCGGTACATATAGAGATTAGCCCAATCATGTAGAAAAGAAAGAGCTACAAACATAAACCATTTCCAACCAAATTAGTCATAGTTTGATATGTACTTTAACATTCGATTAATTCTTTTTTATTTTTATATTACATAATAAAAAATAATTTTTTTTCATCTTTTTTAATTTCTATACTGTAAAATTTAAATTCAAAATTTTTATTTACACTATATGAAAAAGTACATAACTAAGTTGGGTGGGTGGTTGGGTAATTAAAAGCTTTAAAGCATAGAACAAAAACCTAATATTTCAGTGTCCATTATAGACTGATAAAGTGAAAGCAACATAAAGGAAAGTAAATGCAGAGTTAAATAATGGGAGAGCAAACTAAGAAACAAAAGGGAAAATAATAGATTTAGTCTCCAATCTTAGTATAAATATGAGATAATGTCCTAATCTTTCATTTGAATTAGAAATGGTTTCCTAACCTTTTTAAAATCACCAATCCTAATCCTATTGTTAATTACTTCATTTAAGTCTTTAATGAGAATCTTAGTTGGAATTTTATAGGACCCATACAAATCTCGTAAAATTTCAAGACCTAACTTTTATAGTTTCTAGAATTGATTTCTAAAATAGGGTTGTGTTAATTAGAAGAAAAAAATGAAGTAGAGTTTTACAATTATAGTAGTAAAAACGAAAAATAAATTAAAAAAATCTTAGAGGTTTGGGGTTTGGCGGGCTTTTTCTTATTTTAAAAGTTCTCATGAGTTCTACGAATTTCTAGTTAGGTTTTGTGTTAATGGCTTAGCAGAATAACTAATTGTAGAATTATATTTGGTGATTTAAAAAATATTAATCTCTAATTTGGTTTTTCAACTATTATATGGATTCTTAAATTAGTCTTTGAATTAAAAAAAATTCATGATTTGATTTCTAAAATTTTTAAATTTAGTTTTAAGTTGGTTTTTTCAATAAAAAATAATTAGCATATCCGTTATTTGGCAACAAAAAGTTATTACTTGACAATCACATTAGTTTTGGGATTCGTTAGTTGTCTTTTAATTGAGAGACCAACTGATAGTCAAATTTATCAACTTTAGGACCAAATGAGAGATTTTTTTTAGTTTATAGACTAATTTAGAGGTTCCTACAATAGTTAAAAACCTAAGTTGGGATTTAACTTTTAAAAAAGTTGGGGACTATTTTTGTTCTAAACGAAAAGTTAGGATAATATTTAGTATTTGCAATAAAGATTGACGACTAAATTTCAGCATTTACCCAAGAAAAAAAGGGTAGGCCGAAAGAAAAGCACACTCACTCCCATGACTAAAACATTTCAAAGAAACTTTTTCTCGCTATTCTTTCTTTCTTTCTTTAATTGTTTTTTATTCGAGGGAAAAAAAATGTAAGACACAAAGATTGGCAGTAAAGTACAGACATGTTTCTTAGTAGGGGTGGGCCAAATCTGGTTTTGGTTAAAATCAAAACTGATTTTAAAATAACCAAAAGAATTTTTCTTTAATTTTGATAACTAAAACCAAATCAAAGTTTTTACAAATCGATCGATTTAGTTACTAATAAATAGGTTTAGTTTTTACTAAATATATATTAATTATTTTTTTAATAATAAATTATATTATATCTCATATTTTATCATATTTTGTCATATTTATTTAAATTTTGATTTTTAAGAAACTTATTTTTATTTTTGGTTGGTAAAAAATTCAACCAAAATCAAAATAAAATTTATTTAGTTAATATCAAAATCAAAACAATTATACCCAAAAATCATTAAAACCAAATCAAATTTATTTTTTTGGTCTAATTTCCAAGTAAACGACAGATTATCCACCCGAATGCCCACCGCTATTTCTTATAAGACTTGGAATCTTTTTTTTTTTATTTTTTTTATTTTTGGTTTCCTGCCCGTATCCGAGGCTTTATTCCGACTAATCTGGACCCGACCCGTGTCGCGCACTTGAAAATGGTTGGTGAATCTCCCAGTGAGAACTGCTGCATACACAAAATTTCAAATTTGAGACCTTACTTAAACTGAAATAAGCTGCCTACCACTTGATCTAACTCCTCGTTAGCAAGACTTGGAATCTTTAAAGGCCAACAAACGAAGACTCGAATTTTGGACTAATTATACCTCTTTCAAAACATGGAATCACTTTATGGCAATAGATAGATTTTGAATTTACATTTTTAAATTAAACGTGTCGTGTTTAATTAAATCATTGGATTATTTATAGTTTTATAAAGATAATATAATTATAATATTATGTAGTATTATAAATTTAAAATATAATGTATCATTATATAATTAATTTTTTTACTCATAATTTTATTAATATTATTAAATATATTTATTTATTTAGTAACACATAATATTTTTTTAATAATGCATTATAATTATAAATTTATGATCTTATATGATATTATAATTATAATATTTCTTATAATTTTATAAAAGATTAGAAAGTAATTTGATATAAGCTTTGTTTGAGAGTATTACACATAATACTTTTTTTCAAAAAAATTGTTTAAAATTATAAATATATAGTAAATAATTGATTTTAATAAAGTTTTATATGTTTTTGAAAATTTTAATTAATCTTTTGTATACTTTTTAGATAATAAAAGGTAAAAACTTACAATAACAACGCAACACTCACAAATGAAGCTATAAATTCTTCCTTATGTGTTAAAAATGTGGGAAGTTTTGAAGTAGTTCTTGTCTTCTGTAAGAGTTTTTAAATTATTATTATTTTTTATTTACAAGAACCTAAAGTGAATTCTATTTTTTAAAAAGTGGATAATAAATTAAACAATAAAATTTATTTTTCTCCCTTCTTAAATTCTATCCACCTGTTTTGATATTTGAAATTAAAACCTTCCATTTAAACTCTAAGTTCTTATTATTTGAAAGATACTCATCATTTGCAAAAAGATAAGTATGGGGGCTTTTCCATTACCAATTTTTATATTTGGTGTTTGTTGGAGAAACAGCCTGTAAAGTTTTAGCCAAAAAAAAGCATAATTCATTCTGTAAATAAATAAAAATAGTAAGAAAGTTAATGCTAGTTTATTTACGTTATATTCCCTTGAAAAAGAAGCCATAAAGAAGAAAGGAAATTGGGGGGGGGGGTGCCTAATTTCTCGTTTAATAAGGAAACTATTGAAAAGAAACAAAAAGGTGTAATTCAATTTCCTGAACAAACTAGATAAAAAACAGCATGGTAGGCCTTAGATCCATGTTCAGTTTCATTACTCATGTGCATTGGTTGGTGTCATCTCATCCATAAAATAAATAAAAAACACTATACATTATAAAAAAAAATCATTTATTTATAAAAGAAAAGACAATAATACAAAACTATTTTATGTTTCAAACACAGTCACATGATATTAAATGAAAAAAATGTAAATTAATTTCACAACTAGTCAAGTAAGAGAATACAAATCTACCATCATATATAGCTTCACATAAAACTATGGTTATGACTGTTATTAAATTTGTTAATCAATTAAAATTTTTAAAATTTTCTTTTAATTTAATTGCTAAAAATATTTGATAAGTGATAAAATTATTAATATTTATTATTTAATATATTAAAATTAATTTATAAATGGATATTTTTAAATAACATAACTAATTATTTAAAAAAATTATAAACTAATAAAATTGCAATTAAAACTAATAATTTTAATAAAATTTTTGTAATATATTTAGGTTGAAAAGAATAGAGTGGAGAAGAGACAGGAGCAATTTCACTTATTTGATTATTAAAAAAACTATAGGAGAGAAAAAGGAAAAAAAATCTTTTATTTTATTTTTTTTAATTAATTTATTTATTCAAATAAGAAAAAGAAAGAGAAATAGAGGGCAACATCCTTTCATTCTCCTTTCATGTCAAACTTTGTAATCAACAAATACTTTTTTGCCATTGACTTGTTAATTTTAGTAGAATGAACTTAATTCTTTAAATATAAGATTTTGAATTTAATTTTTATAAATAAAGAGGTAAGTATTAAGAGATTTGATTCGATTAAATTTTAAATTAATTAAGACTCAATGTAATTTTGAAATTCTATAAAGTTTAATAAAAAAAATTTATCAAGTACCCCTTCCATTTCACAATATCTAATTAATTTTTACTAAATTTTTATCTAAAACTAATTAATAACTATCACTTTTATATAATATTATTAAGTAACATTAATTATAGTAATAAATAATAATGTTTGTATGCATAATTAAAATTGGAAAGAGATATAGTGGGATGGTAGAAGTTATTAGTTTTTTGGTTAAAACTTCATTTTGGTTTCTAAACTATTATACAGACTCTCGATTTGGTTTTTAAATTTAAAAAATCCCTGATTTAGTCTTTACTATTTACCATTTTAACCCCAATTTAGTCCTTCCATTAAAAATCTCATTACGTGTGTTGTTAATTCATTGTTACATGATGTTGTCGCAAAATCTTAATACACATGGATGACTATGGCAAAAAATAATGACATGAAAAAAATAATAATATAATAATAATAATAATATGAAAAAAAAACTTAAAAAATTCTTTCTCTTTTCTTTTTTCCTTCTCTTGCCCTTTTCCTTCTCTTGCCCTTTTCCTTTACCCTTTCCCCTTAGAATTCATTGAACCCAGTAGTCACCGCTAGGTTCCTTGTAACCAAACAGGCGCGGGTTTGTTCGAACCCAAGCACCGAGTTCTAAGGAATCTAAGCGTGGGTTTGAAGGAACCTATGCCTAGGTTCTTTCTTTCGAACCCAGGTGTTGGGTTCAAAAAAAATTTATGTTTTTTTTTTTTGTTGTGGGTTCTGTTGTTTGATGAAGAAAAAGAATTGATAGATGAAGAATGAAATTCCATTTTATTGAATTAATTGTTTGATTTAGAAAAATGATGATGAAAGTTGTCTTGGAGGAGGCAAAGAGAGAAAAAAAAGGATGAATGAAGAAGATTGGAGAACGAAGATGTTGGAAGAAGAAAATGAGGGTAAAATTGTAATTTTGATGGACTCCATGGCATGAATATAACTTGTCATGTTGCCATATCATCATTTTTATCTAATGTATCTCAAATTTTTACCAAGTCATTAACTCTTTGTGAGTTAACTATGGATTTTTAATTGAAAGACTAAGTTGGGGTTAAAATAGTGAACAGTGAGGTTAAAATGGTAAACAGTAAGAATTAAATAAAAAATTTTTTAATTTTAAGGACCAAATCAGAGCTGTACAATAATTTAAGAACTAAAATAGAGTTTTAACCTAATTTCTTCTATTTTATCACGAAGTCCGTCCACAGACGGGCAAGAAACGTTACATAGCAGATGAGTTAAAATTCTCAACTAATCCTCTATGTTGTTTTTTTTTTTTTTTTACAAATTAATGATTAAAAAATTAATTTAAATTAATTATTAGTAATTAAAAATTCGATTTTCAAATGGAGGTAACATTCTACCCTCAAAAGAGACGCGTGGCGATCGTCGGGTCGCTTTGGTAACTAACCCTCTATGTGACCAATGCAATACTAGTACTGGATACATAGACGGCATTAGCGGCCCATCAGTAATACACTCCGTCACTATCGTCAGCGGTTCTTAGTTTAGCGTTGGTGCTGTGTTGGTAAGCGGTTTCCATTCTCGTTCTGTAACTCCAATCAAGATCATGCCTTTTTAACTGGGTATTGCTTCATTTATCTGAATGTTTCAGGTCCTTTCAGCCTAAATGGTGGTGTTGTAAGTTGTTTTTATACCTGTTTTGGATCTTTTTGTGGTGTAAAGGTTCAGACTTTGTTAGTTGGGAAGAGAGATGGCCGATAAAAATGAAGTTTTGGAGGCTGTTCTGAAGGAAACTGTGGATTTGGTAATAGATCTGAGCAACTATGAAGCATTTTGTCGAATTTTGTGTTTGTGTTTAGTGTTTTGGTTTCAATTCTGTTGGCTTGTGTTCTGAGTTTGAGGTTTGAGTTTTCTCTTTTGTTTTGTGAAGGAAAACATACCCATTGAGGAAGTGTTTGAGAATTTGAGATGTAGCAGAGAAGGTCTAACAGCTGAGGCTGCAGAGGAGAGGCTTGCCATTTTTGGACACAACAAGCTTGAAGAGAAAAAGGTTTTGATTTTTTTATTTATCTTACTGATTTGTCTGTTTAATCTACATTTTTTGGATTCTGGGTGTTTCTCAGGAGAGCAAATTCCTGAAGTTTTTGGGTTTTATGTGGAATCCTCTCTCATGGGTCATGGAAGCTGCTGCTATCATGGCCATTGCTCTTGCCAATGGAGGAGTAAGTATTCCTTTCTTTGGTTATCATCCCAATTTTATAATTTTTTTTCAGTTATTTTCATGTTCTGTTTTATCTTCGCAGGGAAAGCCCCCTGATTGGCAAGACTTTGTGGGTATTATCACTCTGCTTATCATAAACTCCACCATCAGTTTCATTGAGGAAAACAATGCCGGTAACGCTGCAGCTGCTCTCATGGCTCGTCTTGCCCCTAAAGCCAAGGTATTAGATTCAAGCTTGCCTTTTCCTTTCTTTTTAATTGACCATCCTCTCCCCTTACAATATGTACGTGTTATGTGCTTTGTATTGTGGTTTTCTTTGATAATATCAGAGGGGCATGTGAACTTTGGAATTCTACTCTTTAGAAGAGAGATGCGGCTACCAACCGCATCTATCACAGTTTTTGTATGTTTTTGGTACTTCTTTCTTGATAATACATTTCTCATGAAATGGCAATTAAGGTTCTTCGAGATGGGAGATGGAGTGAGCAAGATGCAGCTGTTTTAGTCCCTGGTGACGTAATTAGTATAAAACTTGGAGATATTATTCCAGCTGATGCTCGATTACTGGAAGGTGATCCACTTAAAATTGACCAGGTCTGTCTGATATATATTTCTTTTAATACTATATTCAAGTTTTCAATTGGTCAAAGCCCTGTTGTTTTACTGGTAGTTTCTTTTAATGGTCTTTTGCAGTCTGCACTCACTGGTGAATCCCTCCCAGTAACAAAAGGCCCTGGAGACGGTGTGTACTCTGGTTCTACTTGTAAACAGGGAGAGATTGAAGCTGTGGTCATTGCCACTGGTGTCCATACCTTTTTTGGAAAGGCTGCTCACCTTGTTGATAGTACTAATCAAGTTGGCCATTTCCAAAAGGTAAGGAGATTAACATGTGTCTTTTTTATTCTTTTAGTGGGGATACATCTCCTGGTCCCAATGGTAATTCTTTGTTGTTATACTTCTGTAGGTTTTGACTGCAATAGGAAATTTCTGCATATGCTCAATTGCTGTGGGGATGATAATAGAGATTGTTGTCATGTATCCAATTCAAGACCGCCGGTATCGTCCTGGAATTGACAACCTTCTTGTGCTTCTCATTGGTGGAATTCCCATTGCCATGCCCACTGTTTTGTCTGTTACCATGGCTATTGGTTCTCATAGGTTATCTCAACAGGTTGGCTATGGTCTTTTAAAAAATTTCATTGGGCTTTGGTATCAGGAATTTGGATAAATGATGAGATATATTTTTGATTGCTAAAGGGAGCTATCACAAAGAGAATGACTGCAATTGAAGAGATGGCAGGCATGGATGTGCTTTGCAGTGACAAGACAGGAACTCTGACATTGAACAAACTCACTGTGGACAAAAATCTTATTGAGGTCTTCTACAGGAGGCTGTTGTTCATTGATTTCTCTGAATCTTGTGTAAAATAATCTCTTGCTAAATTTGGTTGAATTATCTTATCAGGTTTTTGCTAAAGGAGTAGATCCAGACACTGTTGTTTTGATGGCAGCAAGAGCCTCTAGAACAGAAAATCAAGATGCAATTGATTCTGCTATAGTTGGCATGTTGGCTGATCCAAAGGAGGTAAGTGGGAAATTTTATATGTGGATATATCTTTTTGGAAGGGGTGATAGCCATTGAGCTATGCAGTTTTTTTTACCTTATTTATACATTTATGTGCCCTTTGTCCCATTCTTTTCTTGCTTCTAACAGGCGCGTGCTGGTATACGAGAAGTACATTTCCTTCCATTCAACCCTACTGATAAGCGAACAGCCCTGACTTATATTGATGGTGAAGGTAAAATGCACAGAGTCAGCAAAGGTGCACCAGAGCAGGTGTCTAATTATTACCACCTTTTTCCCTCTTGTTCTTGGTGTCAAAAGTCGATTCTTATCCTTGTTTCTGTTATGAAATTTAGATTTTACATCTTGCGCACAATAAGTCAGACATTGAAAGGAGAGTTCATTCTGTGATTGATAAGTTCGCAGAGCGAGGTTTACGATCACTTGCAGTGGCATACCAGGTAGTTGGAATTCTATTGCTAGTGTTGGGTGTTTAATAGTGTGGTGCTGCCTTTATTGTGTTGTGTAATTGTAACTATTTCTTTTGGAATATTTCCACTCTTTGCTGCAGGAAGTTCCAGAGGGAACAAAAGAGAGTCCTGGTGGTCCATGGCAGTTCATTGGTCTTATGCCTCTCTTTGATCCCCCCAGGCATGATAGTGCCGAGACAATTAGGAGAGCTCTGAACCTCGGGGTAAATGTTAAAATGATCACAGGTAGTTTTCTACTTCGACTGCCATGATAAACCAAAGTTAAATCATCAAACTATCTTGAGTGTGTGATTGAACCAACCCATCAACCTAACCCAACCAAAATGTAATTTGTATGTGAAATCTGCCAACTGACCCTATTGGATTAAGGTTTGACTACTTTTGCTTACCTGAAAAACTAACTGATGTAAAATATAGCTGAATGATCATGGACCTCTTGGTATGTATTAGTCTTATGGTACTAAGATGGAACCCAGTCTTGAAATGGAATACAGGGATTGTTAGATAAATTTACTTGTCTTGGGGACAGAAACCTTAATATGGACTACATGACCTGATATTCTTCATCCCTAACTTTTCTAATGAAAAACTTAAAATATGACTGTTGTTTAATTCAATGTTCTAAGACATCTATTTCAGGATAAGGTAAGCTTTATTTCTTAGTAATGTGCTTTGGTTACTGATCCTTGAGTCTGATTTCTTTCAGGAGACCAACTGGCAATAGGAAAGGAAACTGGACGCCGTTTGGGTATGGGAACCAACATGTATCCTGCATCTGCTTTGCTGGGACAGGACAAGGATGAGTCCATTGCTGCTTTGCCAGTTGATGAACTAATAGAAAAAGCTGATGGATTTGCTGGTGTCTTTCCTGGTACTTTTCTTAAATATTCTTAATTTATTTTGATACCCATTGCTTTATATGTATAATAACAAATATAAACTGTTGCATCCATAACCAAAGGATGGCTTCATAATATTGTTTGTTGGTGCAGAGCACAAGTATGAAATAGTAAAACGCTTGCAAGCTAGGAAACATATCTGTGGAATGACTGGTGATGGAGTTAATGATGCTCCTGCTCTTAAGAAGGCTGACATTGGGATAGCTGTTGCTGATGCAACTGATGCAGCTCGTAGTGCCTCTGACATTGTCCTTACTGAACCTGGCCTTAGTGTCATCATTAGTGCTGTCTTAACAAGTCGTGCCATATTCCAGAGAATGAAGAATTACACTGTAAGTAATATGCCTTGCATAGCATCACACACTCTTCTTGTGGTCTGTGAGTTATTTTATTCTCAAAATATGATCATTTATGAATTCTCTTCTCTCATTTTCCTTCTGCAGATTTATGCAGTTTCCATTACAATCCGTATTGTGGTAAGTTCAAGTCTTCTTCACTTTGCATATTAACAGCTCCCCTTTTTTTCTCTTCTAGCAGAAGTGAGCACTTTAATGATGGAAGTGACCGGTGTTTTAAGTGGTTGTGTTCCATATTCAACAGTTTTTAGTGTTTGTGTGATTGTGTTCCATGTTCAACAAAAATTTGCTTGTAATATCTCAAGTTTAACTTCCAAGTTTATTTGATGATATTGCAGTTGGGATTCATGCTGCTGGCCCTTATATGGAGATTTGACTTTCCCCCATTCATGGTGCTTATCATTGCCATCCTAAATGATGGTTCGTTCTCTCGCTGACCAACACGCCCCGGCGCCCCCCC